TTGAGGTCAGAGTGGCAGCCGTCTTGCTTCTCCAGAAGTTTTTCCTCCTACATTTTCTCGTGGACTTCTCTGGGTGTGTCTGCCTTAGTCTGGAAAGGGACACGGGTCCTGCTCGCTTACGGCATACTCACATATTTTAATTATGTCTTAGAGGCCTGGTCTTGGAAGATACTTGCATTCTGGGGAAACTTAGGACTTCAGCAGGGGAATTGGCCAGTGGGTACAACTCAGTTCAGTCCACAGCAATATCCATTCTGTGCTTTTAATCATTACACTAGGATTTAGCTTTCTACCCTATGCAGGGTCTCTGTCCTTTGAAGGGTTGGAACAAGCTAGGATTTTTCAAGTCGGGGGTTCAGATTTTACTTTTTTTGAGTGACACCAAGCACATGGCACGTCCGTAAGTCTATAAAGAGTATTCACCCATCACTGGAATATATCATGGGAAAGTGTTACCAGGTATCTTGGTTTCTACTTAAAACCCCTTTAAAAAAACAAAAGCCCTAATGCTGGTGTTCATGCCTGCGGTCTAAGGAGATCGAAGGACCAAGAGTTCAAGCCCAACCTGGACTACAGTAGCCAAACCTGTCTCAACAGAACCAAACAATCCTTGAGCAAGTAAAGTACATGAAAACTCTTCTCTGAAACGAGCCCTCCTCCCCTCCCTGCCCTCTCCTGGCGACATGCAGAACGAACCTGGGTTAGAAGGGAGACCAAGGTGTAAGTTCCGTGGTATTTACATTTCCCGAACAGGCACCACCTCTTACGGTCTCACTTGAGGTGAAGCGTTTCCTATCGTTTGGCTACTAGAGGTGATGAGAGCCAGCATTTGTTGAGAATGTAGCGTACCTCTTTCCTCATCCATCTCTTCCGAGGCCGTGGCATTGTTAAATGTGTCTGCACCGTATACTTAGGAATTGCTTAACTAACTTGTTTGCCTGTTTTTTTGTTTTTTTGTTTTTTTTTTGTTTTTTTTTGGTTTTTACAAGACAGGGTTTCTCTGTATTGTTTCGGAGGCTATCGGTCCAGCCCGGCCTCGAACTCACAGAGCTCCGCCTGCCTCTGCCTCCCGAGTGCTGGGATTAAAGGTGTGCGCCACCACCGCCCGGCTGCCTGTTTGTTAACACACTTGTGACTGTGTTGTATGCACTCTGCCCATAGATCTTGTTGTCCATGGATAAGAGGGCCTACACCTCAGACTTTAAAGGTTCTAATGTGGGGTTTGTTGCTAGGATGGTAAGAGGATGCCATTTAGAAAAACGAAATCAACCTGTAATTGTTGTTTTTGATGCAGGGTAAAATCCAGTATCGCGAACATATCCTTGAAGGGTTCGAAAAGATGCCAGCAGCGTTCATGGGAATGCTGAAAGGAGAAAATATGGGGAAGGCAATAGTGAAAGCATGAAGAAAAAGATAACACGTGCATCATCACTGGAAGATTAGCTTTTTTTGGTAACATTTGGTACAAGTTGTACACTGCCTCACATAATAAACATCAGCAAGGGATTTGGCCTATCTCATAAAGTGTATGTGAGATTTTTCTTAATCTGTGATGGAGAACGAAAGGCTCCTGACAAGCAGCGAGCAGGTGCGTTTCTGCCTGCTCCGGCGCCTCCTTGGTGATCGTAAGAAATAATGGCTTTGGCGTGTGTTCTAGTTTCACGTCTGTTGCTGTGATGAAAGCCATTTAGAGGTTTACTTGGTGCTGGGATTAAAGGCCTGTGCCGCCACTCCTGGCTTTACCTCGTCTTGCCGACAAGAGTCGGGACAGCAGTTGCCTGCCTGCTGGGGGTTGGAGTGGAGAAGCCCCCATGGCCCAGAACAGACAGAACTTACTGATGGAAGTCAGTTGCCTGGCTTACGAAACCAGAGTGGAGTGGGATGGACTGGGAGTGAATTGTGGCTTAGCGATGAAGAGACTTGGAATCCTGAGCAAATCGAGCAGAATGAAGTGGGCTTCTTGTCGCGGTGAGCCTCTCAAAGTCTAAGGAGGGTGAGGAAGCCATCAGTGTGTGTGTGTGTGTGTGTGTGTGTGGTGTGTGTGGTGCGTGTGCGGGGGGGGGGCATGGCCTGATGAGGGGTGCCAGCGTCCAAGCAGAGCGAGGGTGGCATTTGAGGAGGAGGACCGGCCTAATGTGAGGACTCACAGACAGCAGAACAAGGGGAGTGTAGTACCCAAGAACAGCCTAGTTAAAGAGGTGGGGCAGCCTATGCAGGGTGTCACCCTTCGGGTGTCCCAGCAGGAGATGTGCCAAGAAAGGATGAGGATGGTGACCACAGGAGAATGAAGGACCTGGTATAGGCAGTTAGATCCCAGGCAGGCTAAGAGGTGCATGACACAGCTGATGTGGAGGCCAGACCCAGAGTGGAGCTACGGTGTGGCTTCAGGGCCTTGTGGGGGCTGTGGGAGAGAGACAAGGCAAGGAAAACAGCAACACGGGAAGTGGAGTAGAAATAGTCTCGGAAGAGGAAGTCTTAGCTGGAGGGGAGTGAGGAGCATTTGCGTGAGAGGGAGTAGTGTAACGTGTACTCTTTCCCACCAGCCGCCTGGGTCCCGCCGCGGTCTCTGCCCCCAAATAACACAGGAGACACTATATTAATTATGAAGCGGTTGGCCCCTTGCTATGGTTTCTTAATGGCTAGCTCTGAGGGGGAGGGGGAGGGGGAGAGAGGGAGAGAGGGAGAGACTGCTGTAAGGGGTTGGTTGGAAGAAAGGGAGGGGGAAAGCAATGCAATTCCATTTTAATTAAAATACATGAGAGTTAGACTTAACAACTGTGAAAATTTAAAACAGACTTTTGACTTTAAAAGCATCCTGGGACATCCCCGTGAGCTACCTGTAGTGTCCCGGAGTACCATGTCACCTAAGATGTGACCATTGGCCCTAAGCTGTTTCTAGGTTGTGGGGAGCTGAGGAAGACTAGATTGGGCGTATAAAGTGCAGATAAAGTCTTGAATGTGCCTCAGATCCAGTGGAGTGGCAAAGCTTTCCCCGGTGAAGTTCAGAGGTATGGCAAAGCCTTTCTCTGGTCCAAGTGCAGATGGTGACAGTCTGGGTAAGTACAAGTGTTCATGAATTATTGACCTGTGTGTGTGTGTGCGCCAACACTACCAATTGTTGCTTCCTCCTGCCGGGTGACAGCAACCGGAGACTGGACCTAGAGAGGACTTCCTACTGAGGCTAGCTAAGCTCCCCTCACCCCCCCCCCCTGCACATTATAAACATGCTGAGGTTCTGGGGTGTGGTGGTGGTTGGTGGTGCTCCAGCAGAGCGAGCGTGGCCACCTGACTCCAGCTTTTCTGTGCTCATCCACTCATTCTCCAGCCGCTCCCCTCCCCAGTCAGGTTTCCAGGACTAAGGTGAGCAGGTTGCAGAAGCAGGTCAGAGGTGAAAAAGCATTAGGCATTATATTTCTCCCTCTCCTTGCCTCTTGGAATTTGGTGGTCACATGAGCCAGGAGGAAATGGCTGTGAAATCATACTTGACTGAAGCAAGCTACGGTGACTTGTTAATGTATATGATTGGCAAGAAAAAAAAAGACAGTGAAATGATTCCTAATGACATTCCCCTATACTCATAGACTGATGCCTAGCCCAGTTATCATCATAGATGCTTCATCCAGCAACTGATGGAAACAGATGCAAAGGCCCATAGCCAGATCTCAAGGAATTCTGCAGAAGAGGAGAAGGAAGGATTGTAGGACCCAGTAGTCTCAAGGGCACCATGAGACAAACCACAGAATCAACTAACCTGGGGCTCCTAGGGGCCCACAGACTGAACCAACAACCAGGGAACCTGCATGGGCCTGACCTAGGCACTCTGAATGTTACAGTTGTGCAACTTGGTCTTTGAAGACAGAGTTTCTGTCTGCCTAGTCTCACCACCCTTCAGTCCCAAATAAACACACTGGTTGACGGCTCAGGCTTATTGGCTAGCTCTTTCTTGATTATTAAACCATTCCTATTAATCCGTGCCTCTCCACAAGCTCTTGGCTTACCTGGTGATGCCTGGACCTCGTTTGCTTGGCAGTTACATGGCATCTCGCTGGCGTGTTCCTCTTCCCAGAATTCTCCTAGTCTGGTAACCCCGCCTATACTTCCTCTACCTGGCCATATGCTGCCTGTCCATTGGTCGAAACAGCTTTATTCATCAAACAATAAGAGAAACATATTCACAGCATACAGAAGGACATTCCCCATCAGGTCTTCGTGTGAGACTCCTATCAGCGAGAGCAAGGGCTGTCTCGGACTCTGTTGCCTGCTTTTGAGACCTTTTCGTCCTACTGGATTGCCTCATCCAGTCTGGACAGAAGAGGAGGTGCCCAGTTTCACTGCAACTTAATACCATGACTGGCTTACATCTGCCAGTACCTGAAGGGAAACAATGGAGGAGTGGACATGGTTGGGGGAGGGGAGAAGGGAGGAAGGAACTGGGAAGAGGAGAAACTTTGATTGGGATGTAAAAACAAAAACAAAAAACAACAAAAATATTTTTCTCCAGTTCCACTGTCCAATTTGGCAACTAGTGGAGGCTAATGATAACTGGAGATACACATGGCAGTCATTTTAAAAAAATTAAAATCTAGGGCTAATGAGATGGCTTAGTTAAGGGAACCTGTCTCCACCTAAGGCACATGGTAGAGAGAGTCAACTCTCATAATTGTCTTCTTGCTTCTACACACATGTCACGGTAGAGCACGGCTTTGATCCCAGCACTCGGGAGGCAGAGGCATGCAGATCTCTGTGAGTCTGAGACCAGCCTGGTCTACAGAGTGAGTTCCAGGACAGCCAGGACAGTTACCGAGAGAAACCCTGTCTTGAAAAATGCAAAACCAGAGCCAGGTGTTGGTGGCACACGCCTTTAATTCCAGCACTTGGGAGGCAGAGGCATGTGGATCTCTGAGTCCCAGGCCAGACAGGCACAGAGAAACCCTGTCTCAAAAAATTAAAAAAAAAGTTAAAAATAAAAAAAACCAAACAAACAAAAGCAGGATGCATTCTGTATTCAAAACAACTTTATTGTTTTTAGAACTATGAGTCACTTTACTGCACCGCACAGGACACTGCTAGCATTGCAGAGGAGCGTGCATTTTTCAGTGATACAACAAAACATGTCACAATCTAGTCAGCATCGATGAACCAGCAGATGATAGTTGTCTCTCTGCACAGGTGGGGATATCATAATGGATTACGTCAACCTATCACGCAGACAGCACAAGTTAGAGCATTACACGTATAATTTGTAGCCATAAAAATCAAAGTGCTTCTTACTGGAACTGCAGTTATCTTATAGGCAAAAATACATGGAAAAAATACTTAAGGTTTAGTCAAAGGCATATTTCTAAGGCAGGAATTCAGTGCGGACAAAGAAGCTCTCACCGCGGTTGGCACATTAGGGGAAGAAGGGACTAAAAGAGGGCCCCGTGCACAGTCACTGACAAGTGTCAGTTGCGATTTACAACAGCAGCAGCAGCAGCAGCACATACACACAAAAGCTATCAAGTTCAAGTATTGAAGGTAACACAGTAGGCAATACTGAGGACGATGCTTCAGATCTACATCTCTTTTTCAACAAGTTAGCTTTAAAAAGCCACAGAAACCAGCTAAAAGAAACCTAAATTTCTAACCAAAACACCTTTTAACTTTTTTAAACAGGTTTCAGGTTGCAAGCGTGGCAGCTATACAGCAGCCTGACTTTTGCTCATGCACACAGGAGCAAACTGAACCACGGATACATAAAAAGTAAATCCAGCTATTACAATTCACGAAAAAGCTGGGGGGGGGGAGAATAAAAAAACAAAAAACAATAGTTTGAAAAAAACCACTCACCAAAACAGAGAACACTACACCATTTAGCAATTCTGCTCAGGGTAAACACGAGCAACATTTTCTCACAGAGTATATACATTTCTATTATCAAAAAGAAATCAATTGGCTGAAAATCTGAAAAATTTCAAGTACTTTTTAGTTTTGCATGATCTGTGTAAGATACTGCACAAGGAAAACTTTGATTATATTGTCTCAAAGAACATCCAAATTTATGAAGAGAGGCCAATTCATTGCCTCAAATCTCAAACTTCTGATTCATTAAACATTTTTTTCCCGTCTGCTAGGGAATGGCAGATAAGCAGAAAGATTAGTTTCTCTCGAGATAAAACTGGAGGAGCCGAGTTGAAAGACCAAGCAGGTCGTCGTCGTCTTAAAGCAAGAGATAGCTTTCTCCTCCCTCGTTTTGTTGCAGTGTAGGATTCGTGCTGTAAATGTTCTTACTCAGTTTCTGAAAGCAGACCCCGCTCCCCCCACCCCGCCCCCAATCAGTGTATATTCTCAAGTTCTTCAGCGTGCATGAGCAGGTGACTAGGTGAAGGAACCAACGAGACAGAATACATGTAATGACCTGTGCCCTTTTTTTTTTAATCCCTGTTACATGAATGACACAAGAGTTTAAGATTTGCTGTGCTAGGAAAAATCCAACTGAAGATTTCCCTGAATGCCTGCAAGTGAGATGAGCCAGACATGAAAAGACACATACTGTATCATTATAATTAATGCAAGGGACTAACGAGGGCCAGATGTGGACAGGAAGAATTGTGACAGACATGAGCTTGGGAGAGAGGAAAATGGAGAGTTAATTTTCAATGGGTTGAGCATGGAAGGAAGGAACATTTTATGGTGTACATATAACTTATGTCAAAAATAGTTCTAAAGTAAAAAGCATAAAGTTGATTCACTGGCAGGGACTTTGCCTTATCCCGTGACTTGAAAGAAATTTCTATGTAGAAGCTCATTATAAAACATTCTAAACAACAAGGACTTTGTTTTACAATGTGTTACACAGAGCCAATTAAGAATCCTTATCACTATAAACAAATAAAAGGCTAAATAAAGCTCTAAAGAGAAATTCTATGAGGAGTCATGGATTTAAAGCCTTTAGATGACCTGGCGATCTAAAAATAGATTTAAGTATGTGGGTGCTAGGCACCTTATTAGTTATTAATAAATATTTTGCAGTAGGATTTGTAGTTTCCTTCTAGTTCAGGGTGACAGAAAGATCATATTGGATAAGGGAGTGTAGGCAGATAAAGAACTTGTTATAACTCAACCATCCTGACTTTTAAATAGATAAGGAATTTAAAAAAAAACCAAATGAGATATGCAAATGAAAAGCACATGGAAATGCCACTTCACCAGGATGACTAAGGTTTTTTATTTTATTTTATGTATTTATTTATTTTGGTTTTACGAGACAGGGTTTCTCTGTATTGTTTTGGAGGCTGTCGGACCAGCCTGGCCTCGAACTCACAGAGATCCGCCTTCCACTGCCTCCCAAGTGCTGGGATTAAAGGTGTGCACCACCACTGCCTGGCTTAAGGTTTTTTTAAAGATTGGCAGGGATGTGAAGAAAATGGAACACCCACATACCAGTGGCCAGAATATAAAACAATGTGGTCACATTATAAAGCAATTTGGCAGTTTCCTAAAAAGTTAAGCAAAAATTTACAGAAACTCTACCTATAGATGCCTACCAAAGAAACAATGTCTACACACTTACACATTATATTCACAGTGTTGTTCCTAGCAGCCAACCACCCAGGGAGAAAGAAGAGACTGCCCTCTCACTGGTGAATGCATGAAGTATCCACATGATAGACTATCATTTAACAACAAACAATACCAACAAATAACATTTTGATAGAAAGAAATCACATAAGCTACAGCATGCACAAACTCAACATGATGTTACTGGAGAAACAAAGACCAATATAAAATGACTAGAAAAGGCCGTTTTGTAAATATGAAGTAGGTTAGTGATTACCTGGGATCAGAGATGAAAGTGGGAATTAGGTATAAATGGATGTATCCAATAGGTACTCTTATTTGGGCAATGTTCTGTAAAAAGGATTATGGTAATGAATGCACACTTCAGTAGAAGTGACAAAAGCTCACTGAATTGCGCATCTCTGTTTTTAAGCATATGTGTTCTATATTTTAATGGTGCTTAAAAATGTTTTGTTTCTAATCCCCAACTGAGATTGGGATAAAAATAGCCTCTTGTAGAACACGCTGGGACAGATGTCTTTCTCAAGAGTTTTATATATTTCATTAATTATTTCAACAAAATATATCATTTCTGAAAATTGTTAAGCCCATACGAGTGATCCTTATATGCCAGGTTCCTTTGATGTTAGGAATGTGTTCACTTGGTTCATTTTCCAGCAGGTATACTGATCAACTTATCACAAAGTAATGCTTTTCTTTTAGACTTTGGGATAAGGAGGAAGGAGCCACCAAGAAGAAATCAAAAACATTAATTACACCCAGAGGTAGCATTTCAAACCTAAGCACATCAACAAATGTTCTGGGGTCTCAGGTCAGCATTGGAGAACCTTTATACCTGTAAAACCAGAGTACTGGTTTAGTTCTCTCTCTCTAGGAATTGCCTCAAAAGCTCTCTGGATTCTCAATCTACTGAGGCAAAACTCAAAAGATGCAGAGACTGAGGTGATTTGTGCAAATTTGAACATTCCCTGAAAGCAAACTTCAATGAGCTTTCCCTGACTTGTTCTGTTTATTACATTCTAGATACCCTACATCAAACATTCCATAGTCTCACTAGGCTAGAAGTCCGCTATCCTAAAAAGAATATGCATCTACCAGACATAAAAATTCCGACAAAGCAAACATGTTCAAACTATTTTCTGGAGTTATCAGAATTATCCAACTAAAAAGAAAACCTAGAAATCACTAATGTAATCTCTTCACTCTACAAGTAAAGAAACTAAAATTCAGACTTGTTTAGAATGACACAGTGGCTGACTGGCCATCAGGGATAAGAGCCTAGATTATTAGAGTTCAGTCATGCTCTTTTCCATTATATTACATGGTCATGGAAGGCAAGCCAAAGAGAGAAAAATCCTTGAAGAAAGAAAGAGTCTTTCAAACTTAAGTTTGGCTTTTCGAAATCATTTCACTTTACATGCTTTCTCCATGTCAGAGTAACTTTACCAACTCTAATCAAAACTGACTACCCTCAAGGAGAGAGACCAAAGGGAGAAAAGGCTATTCCTTGTTAACCCACTGAAGTTGAAGCTTCTAATCAATGCTGTGGGTAGTTTACATGTCAAGTTTTAAAATAAGGGCACTCTCGGAATCAGTCTTCCCTCCATTCACTACTATCCCGCAGAATTACTCAGTACACTGATGTTTATGAATGGCTGCCCGGCTTTTAAATTTCTTACCACATTTTTTACACTTGTGCGAAGTATGGGTTTTTACATGTTCAACGAGAATCGTGCTCCGAGTGAAGGTTGCTCCACAATAATCACATTTGTAGGGTTTCTCTCCAGTGTGACTTCGCATATGCAAATTAAGAGATGAACTCTGTCTGAAAGTTTTCCCACATTCTTCGCATTTGTACGGTTTTGCACCAGTGTGACATCTCAAATGGCGACCAAGGCGGGAATGAGTAGGGAAGGCTTTATCACAGTGGGTACATTTGTAGGGCTTTTCTCCGGCATGAAGTCTTTGATGATAGATGATCGTACTAAAAAGGCTAAAAGACGATCCACAATCCTTACACACGTACGGCTTTTCTCCAGTGTGGGTTCTCTGGTGTCGGGTGAGGCAGGAATTCTGCCTAAAGGCCTTCCCACAATCGTTACACTTGTAGGGCTTCTCTCCAGTGTGTATCCTCTGGTGCTTTGAGAGGGAGGAGCTATGAGTGAAGGATTTCCCACACTCGTTACACTTGTATGGTTTCTCTCCGGTGTGAATTCTCTGATGTTGGTAAAATGACGAGCAGTCGCTGAAGGACCTCCCGCAGTGTTTGCACTCATAGGGCTTTTCCCCGGTATGGGTTCTTTGATGCTTATCGAAGGCCTGCCCGTCGGTGAAACTTTTATCACACTCGTCGCACTTGTAAGACTTCCCCTTCTTGTCAGTTCGCTTGCGTGGTTTAGGCGATGGGCCGGCTGTGTGAGCTTTCCTACATTCGATGCACACGGAGCGCTGTGAGCTAGAGCCGAGGGCTTTCCCACATTTCCTACACTTACTGGGCTCTTCAGCTTCAGGCGCTTTGTCTTTATTTGAGGTTTCACCTTGAATTAAACTCTTCCGGCACTTTTCACACTGGGAGCTCTTGCTACAGTACCACGAGCTTTGGGTAAAGGCTACCCCACACTTGGTACACTTCTGGGTCTTACTCAACGAGCCGATTCTCGGATTTCGCTTGTGTGCGGTTAGGGACGAAGAGTGGCGGGAGTCCTTCTCGTTCCCACTGCCTTTCCTTGACTTTTCCGCGCTGTGTTCTTTGCGGCTCACGAGGTATGAGTGAAAGCTGAAGGGTTTCTTGCCATCCTTAGACCTGGGAGACTTCGTTAAGGAGGCTCTCCGATGTTTCGCTGCGTCTGAAGTTTGCTTGGAGTTCTTTCCGGAGGGAGTCTCCTTTGAGCCAGAGTCTTTCCTCTCGTGGCTACTCTGCTTGCTGTGACCTTTCTTGGATTTGCCGTGCCGTTTCTGGAATTCTGCCTTCAAGCCGTAGCCGTTGTCGCTGAAGCAGTGTTCTACGGTTTTCTCCAAAGTGAAGTCTTCCAAGAAAGCATCCAGTTCACTTCCAGACTCACCCTCTAAAAAAGAGATAACAAAGCCACGTATTTCCCATTTTGCAGTAAAGGAAGCTGCTGCATTTGGGACTGACCCAGGAAGACAGTAATAGTGTTAAGAGATATGGCTTGACTATCAATTACAGCTTTCTTAAACAGGCAAAAGACAAGCAATATAGGAAAGCAAGATGAACACAGAGGCTAGGAAAAATATTGTGGGAAGTAAAAAGTTTATGCTCTATGTGAAGAAAGTTGCAGGTTTCCACGCTTTCCAATTTCTGTACCTGGGCAAACCTATTTACTCTCTCTGCACCCAAACCTCATCTTTGTATACTTACCAGATGTCCAACTCCACAATAAGCACCTTATTTGCATTGTTTCACTGATCCTCACAACAACCTGATGAAATACAACTTGTACTTTATTTTATAGGCATCACAATGGGACACACAGAGTGTCAGAAGCTTGCCTAAAGTCACATGTAGTGTAACTGGTAAAAGCCAGAATTTTAAATACATTTTATTTTTATTTTGTACAAGTGTTCTGCTTGTATGTATGTCTGTACACTCCATGTGTGCTGTGCTAGTGGAGTCCAGAATACTGGAGTTACACAGGGCTGTGAGCTTTCGTGTGGGTGCTGGGAACCCAGGTCCTTTGGAAGGACAGTCAGTCCTCTTAACTGCTGGGCCATCCATCGCTCCAGACCCTAAAGCCATATTTTAATTTGACACCACAGCCCATCTGTTTGATCCCTATATTATACAGCCACTCCTCAAAGCAGACAAATAGCATTATTTATTTATTTATTTATTTATTTTGGTTTTTCGAGACAGGGTTTCCTCTGTATTGTTTTGGAGGCTGTCCTGGAATTGGCTCTGTAGACCAGGCGGGCCTCCAACTCAGAGATCCACCTGCCTCTGTCTCCCAAGTGCTGGGATTAAAGGCGTGTGCCACCAACGCCCAGAAAATAGCATTAATTTTATAGAAAAAAAATCCCAATCACTTCACCAACATGCAGCATCACCCATGACAAGTTTTTTAAACATTACCATGATCTGGCCCTATCAATCCTGAAGACCTGAAGACAATATTTTTTAATTATTTTATTTTTCATTTTAAGTGCACTGGTGCTTTTATCTGTAAGTGTGTTTGTGTGAAGGTGTCGGGAACTCCCGGAGTTGCAATTACAGACAGTTGTGAGCTGCCATGTGGGTGCTGGGAATTGAACCCAGGTCCTCTGGAAGAGCAGCCAGTGCTCCTAACCACTGAGCCATCTCTCCAGCCCTCCTGAAGACATTTTAATCAGGCATCTATTTATTGCTCTTCCTAGATCACTGCCCCTTTAATCCTATTCTTTGAATCTTAAAACCTAATACCTGAACCGCAGTGCCCCAATGCATTAATAAATCTGACGGGTTCAAGGGTTCAAAGTCCAGTAATTAACACGGAGCTTTCTCCCAGACTATATATTGTGTTTTTTCTTAGAACTTTGAATAAATTTATTAAGTATATTATTCACTCTGGCTTTTCCCGTTATTCAGGGTTTCTCTTTGTAGTAGTCCTAACTGTCCTGGAACTCTGTAGGCCAGGAACCCAGAGATCCGCCTGCCTCTGCCTCCCCAGGTGCTGGGATTAAAAGCTTGTGCCACCACCGTCCCATTCACTCTTTACTTAAAAAAAAAATACAGGTCTTTCATTGAAGCTAGTCTGGCTGGGCAACAGCAGCCTAAAGTCTCCAGTATCTTTTGCAAGGCTGTGGCGACAGGCACAAAGTCCATGCTTAGCTTTTACACATGGGTCCTGGAGATTCTAACCTGGGTCTCCATGTTTGCATAACAAGCATTTTACCCATTAAGACATCTATCTCCCCAGCCCCATCCTGATTTTTAATCATAAAAAAAAAAATCACATAATCAGTTGGGTAGTGGTGGTGAATCTTAGCACTGGGGAGGTAGAGGCAGGCAGATCTCTGAGTTCAAGGTCAGCCTGGTGTACAGAGTCAGTTCCAGGACAGTCACAGCTACACAGAGAAACCCTGTGTCAAAAACCAAATAAAGATACTAATTTATGTAATGGCATTTTTATATTTAAACTATGTATTAAATATACTTTTTTTTTTTTTTTTTTTGGTTTTACGAGACAGGGTTTCTCTGTTTTGGAGGCTGTCGGTCCAGCCTCTGCCTCCCGAGTGCTAGGATTAAAGGCGTGCGCCACCAACGCCCGGCAAATATAGTTACTTTTAAATTTTAGGAAGATACAAAGAAAAAAAAAGCCCTAATCCCTTGAAGGCTAACATAATAAAAACTAACATAAGCATTAACATAAATGTTTTCAAGATGTTAAAAAAATCCATAAATATTTAACCTATGTATTTAGACAGGTGAGTACTTTATTTACAAAATAATGGAATTATTATACACGTTTGCTGGCTCAATTCCTACTTACCTTTTGAGATTAAGTTCAAATGGTAATTAAGTTAAAACACCCCAAGTGAAAAATGTATACAATACACACCCACGACACTCTGGGGCTTCGAGCATGAGGTGACACGATTGTGATCATGCTGGGTGACGCTGCTGCCCAGGCTTGCAAAAGAGCAGCAGATCACACGCTGCTAGTCAAGTACAGTTTCCACTGAAAATGTATCTTTTTTTTTTTTTTTGCATTATTAAAGTAAAAAGAGAATTCCATAACAAACCACCGTGAGTCTGGCCGGTAACCCCATGGACTTCCAGTTTCCTTTATGTGCCTTTCTCATGGACCTGCATCGTGTTGCTAGCACGCTTGCTCTGATAATTGGTCTTTTGAGTGGCCGTAATAACATAACTTCTTGGCCTGGCGTGGTCGTGCACGCCTTTAATCCCAGCACTGGGGGGGGCAGAGGCAGGCGGATCTCTGTGAGTTTGAGGCCAGCCTGGTCTACAAGAGCGAATTCCAGGACAGCCTCCAAAACAATACAGAGAAACCCTGTCTCGAAAAACCAAAAAGCCAAAAACAAAAAAACGTAACTTCTCGGATCTCCTGTGGGGGAGACTGTCCGCCAGCCCCCGATGCGGTGTTCACATCAGGGCGGCTGTCACACACCCTCTCGCTGTCAGCAGTGAGGTACACAGATGCTCCAGGACCATTTCTGGGAGACATGGAACCCCTCTGGTGTGACTGATGCCCCAGGACTCCTCTGGCCTTGCCTAAACCCGACAAACATCTTCAGGTAAAGATCCTTCCTCCCCATCTTCCCTTCTGCTTCCTCAATCAGAGGCGGCGCCTGCCCTGTGCTCTCCCTAGTAATTCATACTCCTTTCTCCATTTTTCTTCCCTTGAGTTCTCCCAATGAATCTCCAGAGTCATATCGTAGCATCTGCTTTTTGGAGGAAACCCCCTCCAACCAACAGTGTCCCCATTAAAATGAACATTCCAGGAAGATGAAGGCTCTCTTTTAATCAGTCAACTTTCTATTCTAGCATTAGGTCCACTCAGCATTTCAAAGTTTTTTTTTCCCCTCATGGTTTTCATTTCCTTCTTACCTTTTTTACCAACTCACCTGCTCTGGGACCTTTTGAGATTTCTTTTTCCAGTGCCCTCGGCAACTTAACCCACTTCAGCTGAGAAATCAAATCAACTTTGGAAACGGGAAAGCCTGTTGGGAGAAAAGAATAGAAAATGATTGTTTACATGCAGAACAAAGGGGACTTAGCATCTATGGTTAGCCTGTTTATCTAAGGAAGACAAAGACGCGGTCAAATACAGAGGAGGAATCCAAGGAGGAAGGGTACTGAGAATTGCCGGGTGGGCATTGGTGGCGCACGCCTTTAATCCCAGCACTCGGGTGGCAGAGGCAGGCGGATCTCTGTGAGTTCTCGAGGTCAGCCTGGTCTACAGAGCAAGTTCCAGGACAGAGAAACCCTGTCTCAAAAAAAAAAAAAAAAAAAAAGATACTGAGAACAACAAAATGATGTCCCATGTTTCCAATGCAATGAAGGAAAAACATTTTTTTAGAAGGAAATCTCACAGACAGTCCACTTCCAGGAATAGTCAGGGCAGGTTCTGGGTGCCCAGCAGATATGGCTAAAACCGTCACACGTCCTTTTATCTTTTGGATAAGATAACAGGATGAAGCAGCTGCCCTCCTAGATGCTAGATCACGGAGAGAAGATGTCTTACCCAAAAATTCTAGGTTGTGCAAGTTTTCCAGTAGCACTTCCTTAAACAGCTCCCTTTGAGACGGCTCCAGCAACTTCCACTCTCCTCTGGTAAAGTTCACAGACACATCCTCAAACGTTACAGGTTCCTACGAGACCAAAATGCAGCATCTTTGCATGGTACCAGTTCCCAGCAGACCTCAAGGATTCAGAGACGTGGCTAGGATATAAGGAGTCTGAATGTATCCAAGGTGTGTGTGTGTGTGTGTGTGTGTGTGTGTGTGTGTGTGTCTGTCTTTTACTAGGAATTAAACTCAGGGCCTGGTGCATGCCAGGTAAATGCTCCATCATACTGAGCTACATCCTCGACCTCTTTTTACTTTTTTATTTCAAGATGGTTTCTCACTAAGTTGCTGAAGCAAGTTCTGAACTTGAGTTCCTCCTGCCTCAGCCTCCCAAGTAGCTGGAATTATAATAGGCTCATACGGCTCATACCCAACCATGCCTGGTAAATTTTTTAAAAATATATTTATTATTTTTATGTGCATGAATGTTCTGCCTGTGTGTATGTATATATGCTGCATGTATGACTTGTGCTTCTGAAGGCCAGGAGAGGGTGTGGGATCCCCTAGTACTGGAGTGGAGGACAGTTGTAACCTGACAGGTAGGCGCTGGGAACTGAACTGGGGTCCTTTGCAAGAACAGCCAGTGCTCTTAACTGCTAAGCCATTCTCTCCAGTCCAGGCTTGGAAAGTTTTCTTTTTAAGCTTCTAAGTATGTCTGAGTCCAAACAACTATTATTAGAAACACAGAGCAAGGGAACTACACAGTTCTGATTCTTCGCACTTAAGAACCTAGCATTAAATATTGATTTACAAGACTTCTCTAAATTCCAGTTAACCCTAACACATTAACTCCTAATAGTAAAAGGAAAGTCATAAATAGGGGTATGAATTGGCATTCCCCATCCTCACATCTGTAGACTATAAGCTAACTACAGGTAATAGTTAAATGCATTAATAGCAGCTGCCACGTGAAGTACTGATGCTTCTTATTACCCAGGGCCCGGTTTTTCTCTTCAGCCCAGGCTGGGCTCAAACTCATACAGGATCCTCCTGCTTTCGCGCCTCTAGCACTGGATTACAGGTGTGCACTGGCTGTAGCAAGGTTTCAAAATATGCACTCAAACAATCTCTGGATCAGGAATAAACTCATGCTTACAATTATGCCACATTCCCAACAAGTATACTAATTCATTAAAATCACTTTTTTTTCTTTTTTTCCCCTTTTGAGAATTGCTTGGAACCCACAGTGGCTTCAAACCAGCCATCTTGACACAGTTTTCTGAGTTCTGGGGTTACAGGTGCATCCTCCCTCTTTTCTATACGATAGATGTATAGCTTCCTCTGTGAGAGATGTAGGCAACGGCGTCTCTTAGCACTGGGATTAGCAGCTTGTCAGTGTCATAGCATGTAGCCAACCAGGGCCCTGCAACTTCAAACAACACAAATACATTCTCTCATAGCTCTGGAAGCCAGAAACAGGAGATCAAGAACTAGCAGGGGTGAGCCCTCTTGAGCCTCGGGGAGGGAGGAAGCTGCCTCTTCCAGCTTCCAGTGGCTGCCGGCATTCCTTGACCTTCCCTGGCTTGTGGCCCAGTCACTCCAAATTGCCTCCCTCTCTGTATCATCCTGTGTTCACATTCTCTCTGCTTCTCTAATAAGTGCATTTATGACAGCTGTTAGGGCCTGCCTGTAGAACCCAGGATCAACTCCCCATCTTCCCAATTTATTATTATTATTATTATTATTATATTTCAAGACACGGTTCCTCTGGATGTCCTGGAAGTCACCACTCAGTTCAACGGGAGCCTTGAACTCAGAGATCTGCCTGCCTCTGCCTCCCTAGTGCTGGACTGATTAAAGGTGTGAACCACCACTGTCCAGCCACTTTCCAATTCTAGTACCACCTATTCTTCATTTTTAAACCCATAGCTTAACTACACTTGCAATGAATGATTTTTCTTCAAGTAAATAATATGCACAAGTTCCAGGAACCAGGAAGATCTACTCCTGGTGCTCGCTAATGTCGTACTGTAGAACTACCACTTGTTACTGTTATTTTCTTCCTAACTAGTCATTACTAGTGCTGGAAACTTAACTGATCTGTAACCGGTTGCTTTCCCCAGCTACTGATACATTCCAGTCTTTCTCAGTTGATACCAAGGCTTTCCACAGATAGTCGGTAACACTGTAATAATATGCTGTTGCCTCTCACACTCGGAACACTTACACTTCATTTCTGTCTTACTCACTTGGTTGACTGCCGTGTTCAGGAAATGCTGATGTTTTTGCATATGTTGTGAGCCCTGCCTTTTTTTCAATCTCCTGATTTTCTACCCAGGTGGAGATGTTCTTTACCATATTGGGGAATTACAATTCTATTTCTACCTGACTCACTCTGTCAAGGGCAACTTTTGGGTTTTAGCAAATGCTTCCCTTCCAAAAAGCATTTTGGGGGCGGGTGTGGTTCACAGGTATGCTACAGGATGCCGGTAGAGGTCAGAGGACAACCAACTGGAGTTGGTTCTCTCCTAGCAAGTAGGTCCTGGGGACTGGATTCAGGTCGTCAGTCTCAGCTGCGAGAGCCTCCACTCAGCTCTCTCACTGGCCTTGAACACTTTTGCTTAGCATCAGAAGTTATGCTACCGTCCGTGAATCCAAATAGACAGTGAGTAAAACAGAGACCTACAAGTTGTCTTGGCTGGTTTCGCATCTTTACGTTCCTCTCCAAGAGCGGTTGCACCACCTGAAGAATGAAAACCAGTGAATGGAAACTTACACGTGGCTCCGTGCAGGGAGGAACAGTCACCATCTCCTCTTCTCCCAAATCCTCCACTTTGCAAACAGCAGGGTCTTCAGTGCTACGATCTGGGGGAGGGAAGAGCCAATCTGGTCTTTCAGCTCCATGCTTTGTGCAGAATCAGAACTCACCACAAACCTCTGATTTGCTAGAATGCCTCACAGGAAGCGTTTACTGCCTAGTTACTATAAGGGTATTGGAAAGGATACTGATGAAGAGCCAGGAGAAAAAGTTGCCCAGGGAAATGCTATAAGGAAAAGGCTCAGCACTCCTAAACTTACACAGCCTGGATACACCCAGAGATAAACTCCTTGCATGCCCTCTTCAGGTACACCACCTTCCAGGAGTCCCCATGTGTCCAGTGTTGGGTAAGGCCGTACCATCATGTAGGCATGTCTAATGAGATCATTGGCGATCATCTCAGCTCTCAGCCCCTCTCCTCTCTGGAGGCGGGGCCTGTGAGTTCCATCCTTCTATAGCTGCACTGGAGATCTGCCTCCATGGGTGGTTACTTCTGGACATTCCAAATATCACCTCATTAAATTCAGGCATGGCTAACAAGGGGCCTACAGTAAATGACAAGATGATTGTCTTTCGCCTTTACATGTGTTGAGACTTCTAGGTCAGGTTTCAGAAACCAAGGAGCAAAGGACAAACATTTCAATAAGGCATTTGTTGCTCTAGTCACCTGGGAAACGACAAGGGCTATAAGGGGCTGCAGGCCAAGGAGGGGATGAAAACTCAAATATATATTTCATAACATCACAGTGTTTCAGGGCCCTCTGGAGGAGAGTTCAGAAATCAATTGTTCCTTTTCTTTAAAACAGAGAACCAGAGATAGTTTTTTTTTTTTTTTGTATTAGAAAACAGGCTTTCTCCCACTATTTCGTCAAAAGATCTTTCCAGTTCTTGAGTCCACATAAACTGAGTTCCTTCCTTCCACAAACCCTTAGCTGTAAAATACTTACTTCATACAACAGTTTAAAAATATTTCTAATTCATGAGATACGTCAAGGTAAACCAGCTCTGCTCATCACAGCTGTTTATTGGACTCACGGATGTTACTTACAGCTTTGTTTATTGAACAAAGACACTAAGCTGCCTAAAAATCCAACTGTGTCTCTGGGATGGCCAGCTGATTCTTCAGGATTCTAGCTTAGAAGCAAGAAAACTCCAGTGTGGGCTCACTACGGTCTCGGGACCCCTGGAGGAGCCTAAATTCAGTGACTAAACAATACTGAACATCCTTAGATGAAGATTCATTTTCAAGTAAGGGGAAATAATTTTCCCAAATCACACTCTACCATATTATAACAAGAACTATACGCAGTTTTATTGACTGATAATTGGGGGGATTATATAAAAGATGATCAGTTTAAGAAAACTGTTCTTTCTTACAGCTTACGGCTAGCAATGGATTCTTCATCGTAGGAGCCTCCACAGAGGCCAGAAATTTGGTGAAACAGTGATGGACAGAATGGATTCTACCATGAGCTCTAAGATGACTAGGAGGAAGTAGTTTATCGCCACCAATTCAGTTTGTGGTCACAGTGGTAACTGGGTTGCCTAAAATGTGGGCTGCCTGACTCCTCTCTGATTTGTTTATCACTACAGCATGTTAATTTTTCAAAATTATGGCCTCTAAGAAGATACCTGACAATGCAGAATTGATTATAAGTAGTCTGTAAAATCAAATGTTTTCCTTAAATCAGTGGTTCTCAACCTAAGGCTGGGACCCTTTAATACAGCTCCTCGACTTGTGTTGACCCCAACCATAAAAATTATTTTCGTTGCTATGTCATAACTGTAACTTTGCTACTGTTCTGAATCATGATGTAAATATCTAGCATGCAGGATATATGACATGCGACCCCTACTAAAGGACTATTTGACCCCCCAAAGGGGTCTTCACCCACAGGCTGAGAACCACTACCTTAAATGCTCCCTCATCTTTGAATATGTAATTTTAATTCTTAATTTTCAACCTCAGCAATGTTGCTTCCTGTGAGAGGTTTGCTTCAAACCGTAGGGGATTCCCCTTACCCTCCAACCTGCAACTCTCACCTTCCCTTTCTTCAAGGGTTTGGTTCAAATCTTCCACCAGGCTCACTGCCGCCACACTACTCTCGGGATGCTGAGACGTCACCCAAATCCTCATCTCTCCGGGCAAAACCCTCAGGAACTGCTCAAACACTAACAGCTCTAAGATCTCCTCTTTGGTGCGAATGTCTGGTCTCAGCCACTGCTTGCAGAGTTCCCAGAGGTGACTCAGGGTTTTTCTGGGTCCTTCTTCTTGTGAGTAACAAAACCACCTGAACTTCTGCCTGAAAGAATCTAGGTCATCCGCACATCCCCTTAGGAGCCTTTCTTGGGCCCTAGAAGCATCCTCTCTGGGGAC